TCTCACTACAAGTAATCTCGAGAGCTTATAACGCTTAAATTCGGGATTCGATCCCCGTGTCGAACACAAAACAGACAATCTATTGTGCGGCTATTTACTACAAATAACCCGCTACAGCTTCGTTAAGAATGAGAATATCATATCTGAAGGTTTTTCTGAAATGCTTAATTTATTGTTTACAGTCGAAATACACAAAATACAAAAATATCACGTTTCTCTCTGTATGATAGGGGGAGCCATTAAACCGGTTCATTAAACTTAATATTATTATTTATTATTATTATAAATATACTGCACAAAATAACAAATATTTGTTTTATCGCAAAGCTTCACACTGGACTACCTGCGCTCTGTCCACGGGAAGCAATCGAACTCCGGATTTTACCGTTGTAAGTACGTAAACTTGCCATCGACAAGGTATATTTTTTGGCATGTACTGTACAATAAAACATGCTAAACACCAACCGTTAAAAATTATTCGACATGCAACTTCACAAGGTACGTTAAAAACTTCAAACTGCTGGATCATTCTGGTAGTTCTCAGAAACATTTAAAATATTGTACAAGTACACTGTATGCAAGAGGAAACACTTGTTTTGCAACTCTTTATGTTATGGCAAGAAAGACATAAAATTATCTTTCTCGGTTGTTTCGTAAAAACTCCTTGAAAAATACTTTACATGTAACATGTCATATAACATTTAAAAAAAATACAAGCAACAGAAAACCGCTGTCACATGTACAGACAATGTTACAGAGTCAAAGACGGCGGTGTAAATGAAAAATTGTAAACCATTTGGAATCTCTGCGGTTTTATTACAGACACGAGAAACTTTTACTCAGCACAATCGTATGTGAATGATATGGTCTCTCTCTGGCCCAAAAAACAAAAACATAAATTAGGTACAATAATAATAATGATTGTTTCGGATATTCGCGCAAAGCTACACAATGGCAATTTGCGCAAGTCGTCCCTAATTTTGAACTGATACCGTAGACGAAAGGCAGCTAACCTATAGCGCCTACCGCCAACTGTTGAACTACTCTTATATTACCGAATAATGGATTTAATGTACCACGACCTCAAAGTGCGGAGCGCGTTTTTGTGGCAACAGGACGCGAACCACGAATCGTAGATTCACAATCCACCACTAAGCCACGCCCGACACACAATGCTAATGCGTACCGTGTGTTAATAGAGCTTTTGCTATTACAGCCAACTACACAGAGTCGCAACCTATCATGTCACTGCTACGACACGAAGTTTTAGACATATCTAAACGTTGCAGTATCTGCAAACTTACATGTACAATGATGCATAGTGCCTAGAGAACTTAAAAAGGTTTGCATCGTGCATAAAGTAGAATTTCACAACCCTTATAGCGCTAATCGAAAAAATAAACAAACAAAACTTTTCTCGGTGGATTAGCTACCCACAAATTCATTCGTAATTATTAACAAAAATAATGTACTCGGTCAACATTCGCCAATTATATAGAGACACCGCAATGTAACCAACAAGAGACGCACGTACGATGACAAATGGCGGCGCACGGGTTGCTATGGGAACCACCTGGTTGACACCCTATTACTCGATTATTCAAGCGTACAAAAGGGTTGCAGAATGAAGTGTGTAGAAAACTCTACATTGAGTCATGTCTGGAAGAGCTGCGCTTTCGAGCTAATCGACCGTTCGAACAAGTATGATTTTTACAAACAAATAGTTCCATGTTCTTTACTAGAACATTAATAAACGAGAGGGAATCCTCAACAGCCGTAGCACTTGAAATTCTTTTAATCTACGAGATCTTTGTTTACCTGTTTTTATTAGTTATATTTTTGTGCACCACCAATACCAAACGTGGGGAGTGCGTATACCAGATTCGATTTTACTACTCATCAGGTCCTCTACCAGTCTACCCTCAAATTGAAATTATTTTAGGCAGGATTGGAATGAATTAATCTACGAGACCTTGGGTTTCACCTCCCGAGTCCAAAGTTGTAATTAGATCTCAAATTGGCCAATAGATGACAGAGCTATGAGCTAAATGTTTGTAATTGAAGAAAAAACAATCCGCGCCAAAAAAAATATGTTGGTCTTTTGAAATGTATATAAAAAAGAAATTTACCAGAGATCGGGTGCTCACCCAGGTAGGTATTGTTGAGAAAATAAAAAGCTTTAACGTTACATCATATATGAAGGAGGAGAGGAGGGATGTGTAAATATTTCATGTCGCTCGGTGTCGACTATCATGATTTATATATATGAAGTCCTTCTAGATTACCAGCAGTAAGTGGTAGTTGTTGCTATGGTTACGGAGGTTATTTGAGAACTTTAGTGGTATACATAGCGATTTGACACCTCTGACATGCACTTTCAGAGAGCTATAAACACTGATTGACGCTGTGACCGAGGTTATATAGTGCTCCATTATTGTTATAACAGGGACAGACCTTCCATTTCCAAACGAACTCATAAATATCGCTCATTGTTGTTGAAGGTATAGGATTTATCTTATTCTATACACCAAAATGGGAAGCAATTTAAATTGTTATTTAAGAGCACGCAAGATCAAAAACTTTTACGTAATAATGTTTAGAATAAAAGAAAATACGTATATCCGTTAAATTTAAATAACAATAAATAAATAAATAAAGTTAATGAAAACCTACTGCTTTGAGTGACAGAGATATTCTACTGGTTCTAAATTCTAATATAAATTTTAATATGGTATGAAAACAGACATTAGGGCCAAGAGTTGGTTTGTTCGTTTTTGTTTTTCAGAAAATTTGCGCAAAGCTACACAAAGGGCTAACTTGCACATAGCCATTTCCATTCTAAACTGATGGAGTAGTGCCAATTCTTTGGCTACTCTTGTCTAAAAGAATAAATGATTTTTGAATGTTACTTATAACGCAGCCAATATCGCTAAGTGCGATGGGCGTTTCCGCGGCAACGGGCTGCAAACCATGAATCCTCTAATTCACAATCCGAACACCCCAACAAATGGGTCACTTCCGACCCTGTCCAGTAGATGCAATTAATTATTCAAATACAAGAATAATATGTTTCAAGTTCAATAATATTAACCACAAGTCAGAATAATAGAATGGGTGACAAAAAAACAAAAACAATAATAACAATCGAATACACGTCATCACTTAGCCAAGCCTACAATTTAGTTTTTAAGCCGTAGTTAGCACATGAACGCGCCAGTGACAGAAGTTCAAGCTGTAGTTAGCACACGGATAGAAAGGAAGTCGAGGTACACAGCAAGTTCACTAAAAAGAAATAATATTCTATATTTATTTGCTCACGCTTCAATAAAAGCTCGTATTAAATTAACCTTTATTGCGTTAATTTATGAAGTTCGAAGAGAGTTACTTTCACGAGGAGACCAAAGATAAAAAAAAAAAAAATCAATGACTTCGTATTCTTTATAAGAAACTATTTCGTAGCATTTTTCTTTTTTCTCCCCTTTCATGGTGTGGGTAATGTCACGTCTTCTCCCTGAAACACGAGGCGTTTAAAATCACAACAACGCTTTTGTGTAACAAGCTTGTTGTGATTGGTTAGGAATGGCAAGGAAATTTATTAAACATTTTAATATTAAGTAAAACAGCGTAATGTTTTTTTTTTTTAATTCTTTTTATTTATTTATTTATTTATTTTTTTTTAAATCGCGCAAGTCGGATGTTCTGTATATTGTAATATTATAGACACTCATAACTGGTTGAAAATTGTAACTAGTACATATTTTTTTTCAGCTGTTGATATACATTTGTACTTAGAACGCAGAATATACCAAAATATTGATAAAAACACGTGGGAGGATCCCACCAAGCTTAACTTACGTCATCATGCTCCACATCATTCATCGCCCTCTAGATAGAAGTTTAAAGTTGGACAAAAAATATTTTGTAAATGGAAATACGAGTGGTTGAGACACGCTCACCGTCAGTTTAGCAGAAAAGAAAAAAATAAAACCTTCTTAGTTTTATACATACATACATCCATACACACATATACACATACACACATACATACACACACACAGATGTATGTGTGTATGTGTGATTAAACAGAGATGAAAAGTAAAACTATTTTAGAAATTTAGAGAGCTGTAACGTTCACTTACATGATATGTGAAACAAACTTTTTTTTATAAATATACAACATAACCGATAACATGGCCACCTGCAAATAGAGATGTATCAACTATCGCCAGCTTATATACGTCTGTCATTAGGTCTTGTTACCCACAGGAAAATTTTTTGCATCTTTAGAGAGAGAAGTACGAATAAAATAAGTTTATTTTTCATACAACTACTTTCAAAGACTTTCTCTACAAGTTATGGTTTCACATGGGTTTTCCTAGTGTGCAGTTGATCACAAATTGTGCACCTGTAAAAATATTTGTGCAGTTGAAAATTCACCTATACAAGTAAGTTCAAGTGGATAAATATTAAAAACTTATTGAAGATTATAAAAAATTCGACTCCAAAATTAATAAATAAACGTACGTACTAGAATATTCTTCATTTTTTGAATAATTTGTTGCTAGGCCTATATAATATATTGCAACTTTCTTCAATAATCAACCTATATATTCCAAGATATAATAGCAGTATTCTTAAAGCAGACATATTCTAAAAGTACCTAATAACTTTGAAGTGCTACAGAAAAAACAAATGTAAAGTCAGTTGTAAATCAAGGCCTCTGCATGCATATCTAGATGCATAAACTTGAAATAAACGAGTGCATATCAACCGAATTATGTTTGTGACTAAAAAGTAAAACATGAAATGAATTATCAAAAGCTACAAATTTGTCATTTTTAATCCTTTCTAAACAATAATTAAAATCGTAATATGTTTAAAAAAATTAAAGTTATACAAGTTCGAGATCGTGTTGCACTAAGTGTAGCATTTTTCTTGGCGTCGCCTTCGATGCATTAAAATCAACACCGTTGCAATAAAAGTGCAGTTTGTAGGCTTACCTTTCTCTTTGAACCTTTTCTTTCCTGCTTCAAAGCGTTCCTCAGGCATTCTCATCGATAATTCTAGATTAAACATGCCTGTGGAGAATGACCTGCACCTAAGTGTTCGTAAAAAGACCTTATCCTCACTGCCAGTTACACTTTGGAATCAATACTAAGAGCTAGGCAAAGCAAGCAGAATTAAAAACGTCAGGGAGGTCAAGTTATAGTGGAGTATTTTACAGCTAACCTAAAATAGAAGGGATAAACATCCGGACTTAAGCCATCTTGCGGCCTTCTGTGGCTCCCTGCTTTCTGAGAAGACATTTTATACATGCAAATCAACAACTTTTCTTAATACTCTAGAATTTACTTCTACGCCTACCTGTGGTTGATGTATAGACTAATCTTGTCCAATTAAACTTTTCATGTCAAAAACTATCAAAATGACACAGTGCAGACTATGATGACACAGTTACTACCCGCGGCTCTGTCTGTGAACGCGGTTTCATCAACACGTGTTATCACAGCGAAGCGCTAGTGATCACTAACTGGCCTGCCAGACGGCTCCAGGACCGTAAAAAACAAGGGCACAATTTGTAGAAGTACTCCAAATAGTAAAAAAGAAAATAAATAAAAAGATAATTTACTGAAGTGCTAGAAGATTATTTGTAAAAATACTTTGATATAATCTTAAGCCAAATAAGTCGCGCTTTTGCTATCAAAAGTACCACCCTCAACCATCACTGCCAAGTTGGCATTGAAACCAGAACACATATCGGTCTATGCGAGTTATAAAGCGTCTGTCTGCAAGGGGCGCGTAACCTATAGCAACGAGAAACAAATCATCGCCATTTTTGATTGGTCATCAAATATCGCGCCCAGTTTCTACGTATTAAAATTTTTAATTACCCTTCTCTACCCCCTTTAAGTACACACAGATTAAAAATATGAAAAGTGTTAACCGTTGTAAATTTATATTTTAAGTGTAGGATGGATATCAGTTTATGGGAATATTTTCTCTAATGTATAATTTATGTTACGTCTAGTATAATTTCTAAACAAATCTACGGTTAAAAATAAAGTTGTTTTTCTACTTCCTAGAAATAACTTACGAGACCTTGACCTCTGTTATACTAGAATAATCTAAAGAATTGTAAGAATACAAACTTTTGTGGCGTTAAGATAAAAACTTACAAATAAATGAATCAATAGATGGCGTTAAAATAAAAATTACAACTAAATTAATCAATAAGTGTCTTAGGCACATTTTCGAACCCCGAGTAGTTGATAGAAAGAAAATAAAAGTGCTTCGAAAGCAATTACCAATTTTCTAAAAAACAAGAGGGCGCGTCACAATTAAGCCTGGACATCCTTAATTTGTAAAACGTACGAGAAATTAAAGATTTACGTTCCCTTTCGTCACACATGCAAAGAAAATGTCTTAAAACAACAATATTAAAAGCCATAAAACGAAAGTTGCGAGTTCGCTTCGAATTAAGATACATTTAATTAGAAACGTGAATGAAAGTACCATTAAAAATGTCTGGTTTCAAACAGGAGGCTTCACATTTATATTTGATAAGCGCCTTTTGTTTTTCATCTGACCGGTCATAAGATGAAACAGTGTGTTGCCAAAGCGCTGTATTTGTTAAGCCTAATCGTTTTATCTAGTGAAAAATATTATTACAGATATTTATAGATTGAATCATTTTTGAGAATATTACATGGTACATATAATTAAACCTTTCACGGGTAGGAGGCGTGGGCTACAGAATAAGTGGCTAAATTCAGAAACGTAGAAGTTTAGTGTTTGGTATCTAATATTGAAACGATTATGATGATGATAACGATCACATTTACTATTTATGAAATAATACTGAGGCACCTGATGCTCTTTGAAGCAAACGTCTGGAGAATTTTTTAGAATTGTTACCCTGAAATTAAAAACGAAAAAAAAAAGTTCTCTAAAGAACGCTAGACAGGGAAATAAAGTAGTCTTTCTTCTCAGGTTGACCTTCAACTTTGACCTACATTCACCAAACGTTATAACACCACTGTGGAAGTTTAACATAGAATATTCAGCGAGGCCATGCAATTCAAATGTGTGTGTGTGTGTGTGTGTGTGTGTGTGTGTGTGTGTGTGTGTGTGTGTGTGTGTGTGTGTGTGTGTGTGTGTGTGTGTGTGTGTGTGTGTGTCG